CGGAGCATGCAATTATATTTCAATATTATGAATCGGACACGATTTGAATTTATTGGGGCGGCTCGGGCAACACAAACACTAAAAGCGCACAAAGAGAAGGCTGGACGTCGTTTTGTAGCGGGAGGGAATAATTTAATGATGTTCATACGGGCACAAACGAGCCGATCGTGTAAAACACGGCTCCGAGTATCAATCAGCAATATAATTCGATCTTTATATGTTGCTCTCCCTGGACTTTGTGGCCCCACCATCATCGATACAACATCACGCAACTTAACGTAACGCAAAACGAAGATGGTAACCGACCGACGAAAGGAGAAAACACAAGCAAAACATTCACCCAAAATACTGCTCTCTCTCCGTTTTATTCTTCTTTTCTATCATATTTTACTTCTTATAAGTTCTCACAATCACAACTTCTCTTCAGGTTTTATGGTATACAAAGAGTCTTAAGCATAGTACATAAAATGTATACTTTTCAACTACAATTAAATTATTCTCATTTTTTGAAAAAACAAGTCTCAAATATATATATATTAATTACTTAAGAATATTTAGTTTATTTTGATTTAAAAATTATTTTTTTATGTTTTTAAGTTTTCCAATTTTAATAATAATTAAATAAAATTACTATAATTATAATTGAAATAGTTTAATATTAAACTTATTTTTTTTAATTATTGTAAGTTTCTGGTATAATTAAAAGAAATTAATTATTTAATTTTGAATATGAATGAAAACACGAAAAATTGAATTAATTGAAAGTAAATTAATTTAATAATTGTTCATAAGAAACCAAGACCAATAAATTTAGCTGCTCTGAGATTTATTCCTCATTATATCATATTTTGTTACTAGATTCTCAATTTATTTTAACAATAATAATATATAAAATGAGATAAAATATTGCATTCTACTAAATATGTAATGTTTTAGGTCAAACGATCTAAATAAGAAATCATCTTAGTCATAATTGTGACTAAAGTAGATATTTTTAGCAGTCAACAAGAACACAACACCTTTAAACTGCTCAATGTAAAAGATTTATTTTCAAGTTCTCAGAATCACTCATTAATTTACAATAATAACAACATTGAATTACGTACTTTGAGTTAGTTTTCTTCCATTCTAAATTAATTTATTTTGTTGCTAATTATTACAAGTATTAAAATCACTTTCCCTAGTGTAAATATATAGTTACTTTAATGTCATAGCAAATTGTAAATTATTATTAGTTAATAATATTCATTTATTACATACATGCAAACCCGTCTCCTATAATAAACAAATTGAGTTTTTTTTTTATTTAACAATTTTTATTAGCACATTTATTACCCTCATACAAAATGCAGAAAATATATTTTTTGTTTTATCGATAAATTCTTATGTCAATTTATGTAAATATTAATAAAATTTGTTAAAAACTTAATATTTGTCTGTGGTTTTATGTATTTTCATTTATAATTGCAATTTTAATGACTATAATTAAAACAACTTAACGTCACCTTTTATTAAAGTAAATATAATATTGTTTTGTTACAATCAACAAGATTTATGTATTTGAAACTATATTAGTATTTACAGTAACTTTCCAAGTAAATTTTAGATGAGTTTTTTCTTGAGTCATCTTAGAAGTTGCTAAATAAATAATTAGTTACCTGTTCCGTTTTTTGTTTGTGCGATAAATTAAATGTATTACGTGTTTTCGGTGTGGCATTAAATGGAGATTTATGCATTCTTGTGGAGAGCGCACTTAGAAAAATTGGGATACGAGTCTAGGGGGGTTGAAAATGAGACGGAGATGGCAAGGATCGTAAAAGCGGGTGGGAAAAGATCGGTTCTTAAATATAGACATATTTTTTCCTGCCGTCGTGTCCTCTGGGGACGCTTAAATGAAAACAAATTACTGGTGTGTTTGGGTTTGTATTACATCGCCAGACAATACTCTGGCAATAGGGGAGGACGAAAATGCCGTCATCGTTGCGTTAGTTGCGTAATGTTTGTAGAGTGAGAGAGTGAGGAACGAGGGGTTCAGATGGAGGAGCTCTCGAGAATTGATTATGATTACGGGTGGATGGAGGGCATTAATTGCTGAAAATGAGCCATAATTGACAACGCTTTATGGCGAGGCGCCTCATAAAGGACAAGCTTTTAGCATAAATCCGGCGGGCGCCGTTCAGGATCTGCAGGATGGAGCGAGATAGCGAAGAGAGGGAATGAGATGAGATGGTTCCTTAAAATAATACCGCGAGATCAAAGCCAAGACCCATTGGTATTTCTCACTCGGTATGGCCGATAATGAACGTGAAAGAACGGTCGCATTCTAATGCTGCTGCCGTTGTGACTCTGTTACGTGGGTCGCATTCGGAAAACTAAATCATGTCCAATTTCAAAATGCACATCACACGTAACACGGCTAACTTACAAATTCGTTATTTGTATAAATTAGTAATATCTCAGATGGTAACACTCCCCTGTCTCTGCGCTGAAACTATGTCACTTTCAATCTTCGTGTAATTGGCTATTATGCATTGTAGCACTCTCATAAGTAGCAAAAATATGTGGACAGTAAATACACAGACTTGCTATTTTTATGCTGCGAGAACTGTGCCAATAGAAAGGTATATTATTATATTTATTTGCAGCTGAAATTCCTTCAGTATAGACTCGTTTAATATAACAAATAAATATTGAAATACACACACTACTTTAGCCTACTGTTTACTTATGCCTCAAGGTATAAACATATATTTCCGTATTGGAGAAAATATAATAATTCAATTTAAAGTTATTATATTTGTATTTAGTTTTTTTAAATATTTATATATAGATAATAATATATATAGATAATATTAATACATTGAAAATTTAATACTTCCACGAAATTTACGATATTTTTGTATTTTAAAAAATTCATCTTCATTCTTTCTTCTTGAATTTTTTGTTTTAATTTACTGTATTTTTTTAATCATTTTAATGTTTGAAATGTACTAAACATTTAATTATTGTTTTACAATCATTTTTACTTAAGTTTATCACGAACGATTTGTTATAATTGCTTAACAATATGTGAAAGGAAATGTAACATTTACATTATTTGAACTTAATTCAATTATGTTTTCATTTTAGCGAAAGCTGAATTTTGACGTACATAATGTTTTATGTTGCCATTCAATTACTTAATGTGAAATGCATGTTCACATTCGACAAAGTGCTCTCACTGGATTCGCACGATTCGCAAGTTTCCATATATTTTTTTCCTCCATTCGATTTTCGAATGAAGTAGTCATGTTTTAAATTCGTTGTTGACGTAAACAAATGCTCGTTAATCCACTGATCAGGAAATAAATTAAAGGGAAAGGTGAATGTTTAAATCGTTGTTTCATGTAATTATTTCATAATTTAACATCTATGTTGAAACATATAAAAAAAATCTCAAAAATAACAATTTGATTTTTTTTTAATTTAATGTAAATACGTTATTGAAAATTATTTGTTTTAAATTTAAGAAATATTTAACACTGTTTTATTTATAAATTAGGATTTTAAAAATTTAAAAATTAATTTATTATAAATATAAAAACTAATCTAATAATTATTACTATCTAATTACAAATATTTAACGAGTTTAATCCGTTTCAAAATTTCCGGATTTTTACTCGTATAGTGAAACAGATTAAAAAATACACATAATATGTGTTCACAAGTTTTAAAAATGATGAAGCAGGCGCGCAATCCGGTACTTCTCTTCTCGTCGTCACTCGTTATGCGAAACGCATTCATTTTGCTCGTTAAGCGAAATGCTCGTTATTCGAGGAGCTCGTTAAGCGAGGTTCCGCTGTATATTGAATTAGAGATAAAAACGTTTCACCTATTACGATTATTTGAAATTTAAGTATCTTAATAAAAAAAAGTTAAAATTTTTACTTTTCTCGGTTGAAATTCATTAAGGGGCTGTCAGTTTAACGCTGCTTAATTCTTGAATCCAAGAGAGTAGAAGAAAATAAATATATTCATCCGTTCTCATCACCATTTCCATTAGAAGATATTCGAGTTTGTTTTACATTTGGGTAAGCAACGGGAGGTCCCAGACCCAACGAAAATATTTATTTCCGAATTATGAAAATGCCCATAAAACGAGCTACCATGTTTTGATTTAGACGAGTAACCCACAACGACGGGATTTTTGATATTTTGCATAATAAATAATCAATAATTAGTAGATTAATTTGAATAAATATGGCAGAAATGTGTAGTTTTATAATCCACATATTCGTAAATAAATACGATTTTCTTCTACATAAATTATTTTTAATTTGACAGTTTCCGTTGTAACTATATACGTTTTGAGATTTAGAAATGTAAATTGTTTAATTAATATGCTTATGAATCGAGTTGCGTAAAGCGCGATTTACATGGAACAATATTTATTTTCATAAATAAACCATTTCTCTTCTTGTCTGTTGATGTTGAAAATGAAACAGGACAATGGTTTGTCGTCGGTTAAAAACATAAAAATTTATTTGTCTCAGCGATTTGGCGCAAACTGTTGAAGCGTTGAAATGGTCAGATTATATACATATTTGTCTCACCTCTCTCTCTCTCTCCGTCTGTCTGCATACAACTTGAAATGCAAATTTTATACTTGCATGCTAATAAATTGGCCATTAAACAAATTTTCGGATGAGTCATAAAGCCGTGATGCAAAATAATTTTTTGCGCCGATCAATAAATAATTTTCACTTCTGCCGAATGTGTACATGTTTTATGAACGTCGAAGTGGAAGTAATTTAGATTAATTAATGGAATTTGGGATGATGATGAAACATGCGTTATTGAAGGAGTTTTTATAAATATAACTTAGTTTATTTGATTTTTTTGTTATGTTTAATCAATTTACAAAACCGAAACACATATATAATTAATTAATAGAACAGTACATACAGTCTCATAAAAGTAATAATAGTAAATCACAGTCTTGAGTGTTTTCGTATATATATATTTTTTTTGTTTGTTTGTCTAACACGTATTTGATAATTGTGCGTTTGATAAAACTAGGTTTGTTAACTACAAAATTACGGGTGGAGGACTCGCGTTGCAAAATAAATAATTTTAGTCTATAATACTATAACTTCTCGAAACACCTTGAGTTCGTTAGCATCTCTCGCGTGAGTCTCCAAACTTGTTTGGCTGCGTTCTCTAATGCACTCGGGGATTTACCTTTGAAGAGGTCTAGGTTAGGGAGGAAGTAGTGCGGGCAGCGTCTGCATTGCAGGCAAGAGATTAACTGGAGGAAGATGCCGTTTATCCTATCCGCAATGCACGACTCGTCCCATTCCGTCTCCCTCGGATGTTTCTCGCACTCGTAGAGAAGAAGCATTTTCATGTGGTAGCTGGTAACCGGGTTTCCTGGAAGGTCCAGGTGACGATCTCTCAAGGTCTTCAGTATACTTAGGCACCGTTTCCTGCATCCTCCTTGGAGTAGTCGGTTCTCGGCTTCGAGAAAGGAAAGGGCCCAGGCGTCGCCCTCCATCGCTGATTGCTTGCCCTGCAGCGCGATGCACTCTTTGGAAAGTAAATCGAATCCTTCGGTCTTCACTTCGACGACGAGGTTCGGATGTGGCCAAGGTATCTGTGGTAAGGGCCAGTGGGCGGCGGAGCGGGGCCAGAGGCCGGCGCATTTGAAGGCCGGAGTTATTTGCACTATGAAACGCTCACGGATTCTCAACTTCACTTCGGTCGTGTCCGCAATCATCTTCACTGAGTCTCTGTAGGAACACTTGTCACAGGCTTGTGCCACCAGAGTTTGAAACCTAGAGCGCATCTTCCGCGCTGACAGGTAGCCAGAGGCTGTGATGAATTCCACCCACAAAGACATTGAACGTTTACGCCCGTCGCTTAGCTTCAACACGGCGCAGCCGGGCAACGTGCCGTCATCCACGAAGTTCAGCACTCCCATCTGATTCAGGTAGATGACCACCTCGAATTCCGTCGGTGAAATCACCTCGAGGCCGTCGTATCGCCCGTTGTAGTCACTCAGCGAAGAGATGAATCTCGGTTCCTGCACTTCGACTTCCTTCAGCACGTCCTGCACAACGCGGCACACCTCTTGTATGGTCTTGCTGACCTGCAGTTTTCGCGCCTGCACCTTCTCCGTGTAGTACTTGTTCAATTGGTAAACCATTTTCGTTTGCGCCGTTAACATGTCCGGTGGTACTAGCATCCTGGATGTACTATTAGCTACTGCGGTCATCCGACGATGATATCTTCTTCTGTGCGTCGTGTGGCTGGCAGTAGGAGGGAGAGGGGGTCTTCTGTTGGCGATGGTCTTTGGTTGGCGTTCTTCGGTGGTTTTTCCTCCTTATCTGATCTCGTGAGGGACGACGGTAGTGATGGATCGCGTGAGGCCGCCGCTCTGACGCTCTCACTGCAATGCTTCGAACAACGGCAGACGGTGAGAGACGCGGGCCCAGGTGAGAATATACCCCACCCTTTGGAGGCAGGCTCAGAATTTTTCTGTACGCCGCCCTTGTCAACCACCAATCGACGAACATGTCTGATCACTTACTTCCTTCTCACATTGTTCGCTTCTCTTTTTTCCCCCTATATACACGCACACGTACACAAACACTCGCTAACGCACATACATACACACACTCACTCTTATATTTATAACTCTCCCCAAAAAGGGAGAGCAGTGAGTATCGAACGAGTCATTCCGAGGGAGAAATTCAGACTTTCTCAGCCTAAGGGTAATATTTATTTTTCTTCCATTTCAATACTTAACTAAATAAATATAGCAATTTCTATGGTCTTGGTCACAAATAATTACATATTTATACATTTACATTACTTTTATTCAACAGAAAAACAACGTTTCATAAAATAATATCAATTTACAATTTTTACATATCTAAATGTGATTTAAGCAACTACACAGTGTTCAAAATAATAGCTTTTATTTCGCTTTAACGAAAACGAAGTAAAAGCTTTGTAGAAAGTTACATTTACAGCTAAATACATTTTACAATACTAATAAATACTGGAATCCGCTCCAAATATTTACAAACTAATTTGAAAATTTATTTTTATTTTCTATATTATTTATTAAACTTTATATAAAAAAGTCATGAAAAATCACAGATACAAAAAAATTAAAAATATACAAATAATTTTTGAAACTACAATTCTTAATAATTTATAGCACTAAACTTCACTATTACATACTATCATACATTCAATTAATAATTCATGTATTATTAATATCTTTATATTACCTAAATTAAATTTACAGAAAATCTTTAATAATAACATATTAAAAAAAATGATAGTTTACCCGTTCCTTCTGGCATTGATATTACCGAAAACTCGGGTACATTTGCAAGGGGTCAAATGGACCGTACATAAACCTATTTCGACATAAAACCGATCGGAAACCAAGAGTTTACAGTAAAAATGGAACCGAGTGCGTAGATTTATTTCTACAATTAACGATTTTACAACGCTCATTAAACAAATGCAGATAAATAAATCCAATTGTAATTTCGTTTTAATTTCCCCCTGTTCGGTTATTTTCGTTGCATCAATATAATTACTCTATAAATAAATGCATTTTAAACGTGTGAATTTATGATGAAAATTTCATAGAAAAAAAACTTGAGTTATTTTGTAATTATAACTATTACATGACATACATTTAATGATTTATAGCTAAAATACAAGAAAACGCGATTATTGATTATTTTTTTTAATTACGGACTTTTAAACTATAAATAAAATAATTAGAAATAAGAAAATTTATTTTAATTTGATTTATATGTTGAATGTTAATTAAATGTATATGAGTAATATTTTATCAAAACCATTATAGGTCTTATTATGTGTATTTATATAATTACAAAAGTTCTGTTTTAGATAGTTGTAATTATGTCGCATTATTGTCACGTTTCCAGTTAAAGTAGTTAATTATATGACCTCGGGGTCTGAGCGAAAAGATTTAACATATCATTACGCAAAGTCTTTCGAGTAACGTAATTCCTGTAGCTTATCTCTAAAGGTTTATATTTATGTTTTAGTAAATTGTTTAACAATTTGTTTCATATCAAAATTATTAACGGAAAGTCATTTAACATCCATAAAAGTTTACTTCATTTCTTACATAATTTATTTATAATATCAAGGTTATTATTTTCTATCTTCAATTTTAGACTGAAATTGTTTGAATAATCATAATTAATATATAACAAATAGGTAATTATGTGACTATTAATTTAATTAATTGTTATTTTTACACAATTAATGAATTAAATTTGTTCCAATTTTACTCTTATAATTAGTTGTTAATAGGCAGTTATTTTCGTAAAAATAACAAATTGTTTGATTTAATGAAAAATATAGTTTCTTTCTTTAACTGCTGAAGTATGGAATATTCTTTCATATGTTCTTTGAATATGTTAAATACAATTGTAAATACAAGAAACTGGAAGTAGTGAAATGGTTTATTTTGTTAATGACCAATTGTTTAGTTTCTCATGAACACATTACAATATGAATAATGTTTAATGTTTCTAATATATTACAGTTAGTTTTATCAATACAACGTCTAATCTTTTGAAATTATCCGTTAATGCTAAAGACACGTTACATTGCTTGTTAAATAGCAAATAAATTTTGTTAAATTGACTGTTACTGTAAAAAAAAACAAACTAATTATAAGCATTAACAGTTTTTGAAACTGGTTAGTTTGAGCAAAGTTATAAAGCTTCGGACGTCGATAATCTAATTGGCGTATAAATCCGCGTGGTTTTTCTCTTTTAGCGTAAGCACATCAGGTGTACGGTAATAGTTTCAAACGGAATTAATTGCGTTTGTTGTAATCTTAATGCGTTTATGCAAATGCATGCGCGACTCTCTTCCACCCATGCTCAGCACGGACGCACCTCGTCCTCGTCGAATGCGATCTGATAAGGGCTTTTATTAATCGAGCCATTAATTGTTTCAAACTTTAAGCTAATTCGCACGCAAATGACTGGAGATCACACATCAGAAAAGAAAACACAGTTTATCTATTTTGCATACTTCCGACGGGGGTAGTCTCCATCCCCGTGGATTCAATTTATTATTCAATAAGTATTAAAAAAAGAAAAAACAATATATAATATTAAATACATTAAATCACACTCAACAAAATAATAGTTTTTTTTATATAGGAATCAAAGGAATCGATCAATAATAATATTTACAGATATAAATATGATAATATATAATATATATAATAATATAAAAAATTATAATTAATTAAAGCATTCAATAATATTTACAATATGGCACTGAAAGTGTAATCATCGAACCGGGTTTCTCGTCTGTAGCAGTCGTTGATGTCGTCGCACAAAAAAAACATTTTCTTTAATTTGAACTCGAAATAAATCACTTTTACTAAGCCTTTTAGTTTACGTATACATCAGGAATGTTTTACAAAAACTCAATCTCGGTGATTTTATTAGAGCTTTTCTAAGCACCTAGTGTTGGTGAGCATCTCCCTGGTTAGGCGCCAAACTTGCTTCGCGGCGTTTTCCAAAGCGCTCGGTGATTTGCCTTTGAATAGATCCAGATTTGGTAGGAAATAGTGCGGGCAACGCCTGCATTGTAAACAAGAGATAAGCTGCAAGAAGATCCCGTTGATCCTATCCGCGATGCAGGCTTCATCCCATTCGGTTTCTCTGGGATGCTTCTCGCATTCGTACAATAGAAGCGTCTTCATGTGGTAGCTTGTCACCGGGTTCCCAGGTAAATCCAAGTGACGGTCTCGAAGAGTCTTTAAGATGCTTAAGCATCTCCTACGACATCCGCCCTGCAAAAGTCGGTTTTCCGCCTCTAAGAAGGATAGCACCCAGGCATCGCCTTCCATTGCGGATTGCTTGCCTTGCATAGCGACGCTCTCCTTGGAGAGTAAATCGAATCCTTCTGTTTTAACCTCGGCGACGAGATTGGGATGGGGCCAAGGTATGTGCGGTATGGGCCAGTGGGCCGCAGACCTGGGCCATACGCCCGAGCATTTAAAGGCCGGTGTTATTTGCACAACGAATCTTTCGCGAATCCTCAGCTTGACTTCCGTGGTATCCGCGATCATCTTCACCGAGTCTCTGTAGGAACATTTATCGCATGCTTGAGCGACCAAGGTTTGAAACCTGGAGCGGATCTTTCTGGCCGAGAGATAACCGGAGGCTGTTATGAATTCCACCCATAAGGACATGGACCTTTTGCGTCCGTCGCTAAGTTTCAGGACAGCACATCCTGGTAGGGTACCGTCATCTACGAAGTTGAAGACGCCCATCTGGTTTAGATAGAGGACGACTTCGAATTCGCCCGGGGATATGACCTCGAGGCCCTCGTATCGGCCATTACATTCGGTCAGAGATGAGATGAAGCGCGGCTCTTGGACCTCGACCTCCTTGAGAACGTCCTGCACCACTTTGCACACTTCGCGGATCGTCTTCGCGATGGTGCCCATTCGCGTCTGTACCCTCTCACCATAGTATTTGTTTATTTGGTATAGCATTTTCGATTGGGCCGCTAACATATCAGCGGGCACCAGCATGTTAGTTATTCGGCCGTCGCTTCAGGACTGCTTTCCGCTCAGGTAAACACAACGGAGCAGGTTCGAAGAGGCGGAGCCAGAAACACCGCCCACTTCCGCAGGATTGCCACCTCGGTGCGTGCTTTCGGATGGGCGCGGCCGTCCGAAGCATCGATTCGCGCACGCTCCGCCCATCTCCCAACACGCCACTCCTGCTGTCATTCCGCGTTTGATGCATTCCTGCAGGACCGAATATTCCTATTAGGAGCAGAGTTCCTCGCCGGTGCAATTCGCTTTTTGTTTATTTACGGTATTTTTCCTTATAATGACAAACCTACAATGGGATGAAGATGTTTCGGTCAGATCATCCGTCAATACCCTCTTCAGACAACAAAGCCGTAATCCACCCCGCGGAGATGCACGGATGGCCATTGTTTGCGCAAAACGCTCTCTCTTCATCTCCGTTGCCTATTGTCAAGTACTTACGTCGGTTGCTCTTTTCTGCATTGCCGTTGCGCTCTTTGCGTCTTTCAATTCGGCTCCTCTTTTACGCCGACTTACACATGTTTATTTTCTATGCCATCTGCTTATTTCGTCACCTAATTAACTCTCACTCTCAGCATCATCATCATCACCCATCCGACTTTTTTGTTGTTGTTTTATTTTCATACTCATAGTGAGACAGAGACGCAAAGTGTCGTGGAGAGAAAAAAAAAAGCGGATCCAGTTATTAAAGAGTTCTCCTCCTAGGAGTGCTCCATAAATTATACAAGAACGCGTGTAACATGTAAGTAGAGCTAATAGCTCCAGTCTGCATTAAATCGACTGTTATAGTGCGCGCTTTGTTGAACATTATTTTATTGCTTTCGTGCCCTTTTTTTATAGTCGTGCATAAAATTGCTTAACTTTGTAAGCAAACATTTACATACCAAAACCGATATGTTTTTCTTTTGTCATTGCATTTAATTTGTGAGCAAAAAGAAGAAAACGTTTCGTGTTTGTACAGAGTAAGTACGCTTGTCTAATAAGATCCAAGATAACACCACATATATATATTTTTTACATTCACCTAATTTACTTGCATAACTTACATTTACAAAAATGTTTTAAACGTAAATTAAATACAAAAAAAAAATTAAATAATTTTAAATTCTAAACAATTATTAGATGTTGTTTCTTTTCTTATATTAGAAACATATAATAGAAAACTTACGTAATATTAAATTGTTATGTGTCCGTATTTTTACATCCCAATAAAATTACTTTTAAAAAGAAATAACATAAATTTATTTTATTTTCATTTAAAAAAAATCTGTTCTCTTAAAATAGACAATAAAAAGTTTTATGTGGTTTTAAGTTTAGTTTGGATCATTTAATGTAGCATTAACTATATTTAAGTTAATATTGTAAAGTTATTCGGTGCTCATTAAATATCTCAATCTGATTCCAGTCATTTTATATAAAATAGTCTATAATTATTTAGAACACATTGACAACTCAAAAGTTTTTAAACAGGAATAAGTAAATTATTATAATAATATATTCAATGAAACAATATGCATTATAAATATAGATTTATTATTTCTTTCTTACAGAATAATGAGACATATCACAGATATACTTTATTGACGGAAAACTAAAATCTGAAATGTGGTTAACAATGTGTTTTCATATTACTGATAGAAATGAAGTTGAATTAATTAAGTGTATAAATCAGTCACATTTAATTACATTACATGTACAGTTTCTTTTTACTTCTGTTGCGTCGAGCCGCTTTCATAATTAAATTATATGAGCTTCCATTTCGCCTGAATAATTCATTAAATTAACGTTTCTTTGGAGGGAAAGAAAATAAACAAGCAATAAATAAAGTATTAACGCCGAAGGTAGGAAGAAATATAAAACGATATTTCAGTAAACAATAAAGAAAAAGCGATGAACTTGGGACTGCGTGTGTTTTTCGTTTCGGAAGACGCGTGGTGCCAATTAGTTGTTTGTTCTGGGCTCGGCGAGAATTACGTTCGAATTAAATTATATTTAAAGGAGAATTCCGGGAGGACAGGAGGGAATGAAATAAAAGGCAGAAACGGAGAGAATCGAGCTGGATGGAAAATAAAAGGAGAGACGAGTGAACGGTTTGTTTGTTTATAAGGAATGCGTTTAATGGGCAAGTCAGGTATAATAAATAAGTGAACCGGAGTTGTCTGTCGGTTTTAATTACGTTAGTTAGATGCGAAGATAGGTGCAGGCGAAGGTGTATCGTATATCAGAAGCAACCTGCTTTACCTGTTGTCTTGAAAAAAAAAATCGAATAGCCAACGCAGCTTTGCTTTCGCGTCTGAAAATTGGAGAATTCACTTAGTGACGATTCCTGGGTTTGATTTTCTGTTTCGTTATGTGCTTTGTATTGCATTGCGTTGCATTACCAAAGGACTTTTAATTGCGTTAAGGCAGAAAGTGCAGTACGCGATTTAATTCGGTTAGCAGAGGCACCAGCACTGACAGTAATTTTGTTTATGGTGATCGGTGCCACCAATGAAGCCCCCTTTTTCTCGTTTAATCCGATCGAACGGCGGCGGTAATGCAATTTCGGACGCATTATCCGGACACCCTCTTGAAAATGTCGAATGAATGAATACGCCTTGGGGGGGGTCAAAGTAATTCAATTCGCTCGAAACGGCAGATATAAATCATAACATTGCGGCATAATGAGCATCGCCGAGGACGATGTTCAGAATGCGAGCTATTCGGAGGAGACTCAGACCTCCCTGGATTCGTCTGCTGAGGGTATTCGTATCCCATCTGGGCCCAGTTAAGTAACAGGATACGGATACCGAGACTTGCAACAGTATTGTGTAGTAGTATGCAAGCGCCACTGCGAAAATTGCTTGGAGGTATTCGGGTTCCCTAATTTGAAACACCCCCGCATCCTTAAATGCAATATTTTGGTATGCCCTTTCATCGCTTCCAAATTAGTTCCGAATGCCGAACCACCCAAAGACACTTAATTAGTACTGAATTCTTATCCCGAGATAAACGTCGGAGGAACCCCACTTGCCTCACATCCTCTTCTTCTGCTACAACCTTTTAAAATGTAATTATGCAAGTCTTATTTTTAGACTTGACAGACGATGATTTACTTTCAAGTTTTGTCAAAAACGTTTCCATTCATTCATTTAACGCTTATTTAAAACAGTTTAAATTGTCATAAATATTTTCATTAATAACACTTATTTATACACTTTATTTGTAAATTCTACTATTATTTTCACAATGAAAATTCCTTTACTCATTATAAATTTGCAAATACACGACATATATTTTTAACTTAAAACAGATCGAATTCTGTAATATTTTAGTTAGTAAATAATAATTAATATTTGATAACATTATTTTCGTAATTTGTAAATATTTCCTAATAGTTGTTATTAATTAATTGAATACAAAATATTTAATATTACATTATTTCCATGATTGAATTGTAAATAATTGCAAACAAACATAATTTGTTGTATCCGTTTTAAGTTGTAGTAAAAAAAAACCAGATACAACTACTCAAGCTTTCCGTTTTAATTTATATTAAATGCTTGAGCAAATACAAATTGCACAGTAATTTATCAAAAAGTTAATTGTATGTCAACGGGTTTTTCAGTGTAAAATTTTTGCTTTATGAACTCTTCATCTTAGTTTGAATGCATCCATAAAATACAATAGGGCTACAAAAACGTGGTTGGGCCGCAGGGAGGATCGGGAAGGAATTAATTGGCGATGCGATGAAGTTCTTTTTGTGTGTGCGTTCGCGGTTGTTGATAGTCCTCTGACAGCTGACGGTGATGTCTAAATTAGCGAGGCATTTATATATCCTGAAGCCCCTTTGGCGTTTATCCAACCATACACACTTTATGGGCTCGCGGACTCGGAATTGTGCAACTTTTTTCATCCTCTATTCCGCTCTTCCTCAAGAAGAAGAAGATCCACACCAATACAATCCGATGCCCAAAGATGAAAGCCGTTAACTTCTTCGTTTCGGAACTGCAGTTTTGCGGTTGATTGAGGCGTCACTCGACATAAGTTCTGCATTAATATTCTTAAGTGTGTGGAACCACTCAGCGACTTCCTCTTTCTGTCTGCTATTTGCTTTCACTCCAAGCAGATTTATGAGTTCCGTATGTGTGCTATACTTCTTTTTTTCTTTTCATTCTTCCTTCTTTTTTTCGCATATTTAATATATAGATCTGCGCTTTTCGCACACGCGCCATTTCCTCTTAGTACAACTAACTTTTATTTATTGCTCACTCATTGTTCGTTAGAATCCATTCTTTGTGAAGAGAGCTTCTTTCTTGCCGTCTTGCGCTTTTTGTTTTGTTTCTTTACTTTTATTCTGTTAAAGACTATATATATAGATTGGGATGAAACAGGTATATATGAGTGGAGAGTTGTATTTAATTGGCCGGTTCGTTTCGTTCCTGCTCTCAAGAAAACGGCCTTATCTCGGGGACAAGTTTAAATGCTAATTGACATTTATAACGTATGACCCTAAAAGTCCGGGGGAATTTGCGACGAAATAAAACGCGATTTACGAAACCCAATATCCGAAGATGCGAAGCGTCCTTAATTATACCCGCACTAATTGCCTTTTTTTCCGAAATCAATTATCGACGTATCCAGAAACCATGTTTTACTTGTTCCTCGTTTTTTAACTCCAACGACATCCTCCATTAAGTCGCTAATTTTGAGTAGTTATTTTATCACAATATTCCATTATATATAATGTTATATAAAATACAGAATTCTATCTAGAAATTACTATTTTTTTTTACAAAAAAATGAGTATTATACAATATAATTAAAAAATAGCAGTATTGTTTTCACTCAAAAAATTTGATTATGTAACCTAATTATCATTATAAACGAAGTCTCTATAATCTAGTTTTATAGTGTAATCTTTGTGAAAGTAAAGAGAATTTTTGAAAAAAAAAAATGATAGTTAATACAGGTGATTATAATTTTGAAATAAGATTTATTTTATTATGGG